TTAAATAAGCTTAGAACTATTTCTTTTTGACACTTACTGCTTTGTATTTTTTGATAAAATTGTCTCTTGTATTATTTAGCCTTAACTAAGCAGACTGGTAATTTTCCATACCACCTAGGACTAGGCTTTGAAATAAGATGGCTGATGGAAGCATTGTTTTATTGTTTGCAGATATTGGCAAGGGAACATGTTCACAGCAGTCCATGCCCTCAGTCGATGAATGATGTCAGCTCTGCGACCTTGATGGATGGCCAGCTATTGGCACCTGAATTAGAAATTACCAGCACGCTGAGGGACAGTCCTGAAGTTGCCAGCCTGATAGGTTTTGTTCAGTTGGAGCTCCGAAATTGGGATTTAATGGATAAATTAAGTGTAATAGATACATGTTTCAGACTACAGAATGCTTGTTTATTTGTGTTTAATAATAGATTAAAATGAATAAATAATGTGTCTTTAGCTGTGGCAGTTATTCAGGCAAAGGCCTTGTAGCTCATGGCTAGAATGTTTGCATGTATGTATCTTAGAAAAATTAACCACTGAAAGTCTGCAACGTTTAGAAACATCAGTATATTTCTTGCGCACAAAATCAGGATCACCATTTACTAACTTTAAAATAGGAGAAGAGGCATAGTCTTTTATTTGTGTACATGTAATTTATCATGAACACTGTATGAATATAAGAACATTTTTAAAGTATACCAGAAGATCAAAGAAAAGTGGGTATAGTTGAGAATGAAACGCCGAAATGTGTAGATAATGGTTTCTGAGAGCTGAAAGTGAAGTGATGGAGGCTAAACATAAATTACCGAGAACGGGCATCTCACATGAAGTATTCGAAGGTTTGTCACGTCACGGAAGCATTGGAAGCTGCTATCTATATACCTGTGTTTGGCAATTGTAGCACAGTGGCTACACTCATGCGTTACGTGTCTTTCTTAGGAGAATTTGTAACACTGTAGTCAGTAATTAGTATCAGGAAATATCCGGTTCACACGCGATATGAAATTTTGTCACAAAGTGGAACAATTTTAGCGAGATAAAAGACACCCAGTGATGGCGGTATACAGCTGAATCCTGTAGTGTGGAAGAAGGGTGACTATGTAATATGTTGCATTTAAGACGGCAATGCACGTTAAATAAATGATAAATTAATTCAGTGGGATGCTAAAATTACTATATATATTACATACTTCAAAGGGAAGTACTAAGAAGACCGATGAAAATCAATCGCAACACTCGAATCGATAGCTGCGCTAGTACCACCTTATTTGCCAATGGACACCAATGATCAACGACGTTGATTTTAAAAAATCTTTTCCCAGCCGGGAAATTGAATAAATAAACTGAAATAAATAAAAGTGTGTGTTATCAGATGTACGGGAAAATACGTATAGAAAAATAAATAGAAGTGTATATTATCAGAGCTACACAAACTAATGTTCACAACCAGTGGGGATCGAATGAGTTAACCTAGATGTAGAGTTCTTGACTAGTAGAATATAGTGAAAGGGGAAATATACAGCCATGACATGATCGCATGAAGGGCAACTTAAACACCAAAGTTGAAGGCAGTATGTATGTCTGAAACGTTAGTATGCTCCTAAGAGACCAAGAAGCATGATTCCTCAAACTTCATTGTTGATGCCGGTGGCATTAAATTTCCCCGAGGTATAGATATCCCGTAAGATGAAAGAATTGTAGCCCTACCACAGATCTGTGCCACGATAAAGTGTGCTCAAAACTTTGATTAGTTAATGCAGAAGCCACTATAGGTAGCAGCCAGGCTGACTAAAATTTCTCAATTCACTGTTGGATAATGTTCCCTGAACTTTGGGCTTTTAGTTACCTGATTACTTCACAACGCTAAACAGCAGTTGTTCTTCTCCATCATTACATTTAGTGGTAATAGTATCAGAGGGATCACAGCTCTCAATTCCCAAGACCTTTATCCTACACCCACAAGCACAAGATTTCTGATTCGAATAAGTTGAACCAACTGGCTATCCAATTAAAACCAGGGCATTGTACCGATCTGCTTCGCAATTGGGTGATCAATCAGCCAATGAACGCGACTACCATGTAGCAAAACTATATGAAATATACTACTGTAATTTCGTTTTGTTCTATAAATATGTATCATGAGGTGTGGTTTTGGCATCCAAGACCATCCGTGAGCAGCGAAGTTCCTAGCTGTGTTTTGTCATGACCAATGAAGGACATACTCATATTTACTTCAAACCAAATCAGAACAAAGTTTTATGAGATCTGGAATTTGGCACTGAGAATTGAGAAAATCACAAAACCGAAGGTTCTTTGCCATGTTGACAAGAGCCCTCCACTGGTCCCTATCCTGGTCCAGATCAATCTGATCAATACCATCCCAACCTATCTCTGTAAGATCCATTTCAATATTATCCACCCACCTATGCCTTGGCTTTCCCAGTGGCTTCTTTCCTTCTGGCTTTCCCACCAATTTCCTATATGCATTCCTCATCTCCCCCATTCGTGCTACATGCCCTGCCCAGCTCATCCTCCTTGATCTTATATCAATAGCTGAATATATAGGTTGCAGTAGTGCTCAAGTGACTCAGAGCGGCTACTTGTCCAATCATAGAGATACCACGTCATAGCACCTAGTGTCAAATTTGTGGCACAATTAGTTTTGTTTGAATGAAGCCTGATAGTAGTAGTAAGAAGAGGAAGGCAGTTTTATTAGAAGTTTTCACGATTTAAGACGCGTGAGAGAAAAGAGGGATATATATTACATGCTTTGTCTTGCATTGATGTATTAGGATGTGATTTTGTGTGCATGCCTTCTTATGTTTGAAGCCACGTGTGCAATCAGTCTGTAGAGCATGTATAAAATGTATCGGTGTTGACATTTATGTGGAGGATGAACAACAAATAATTTCAGATTTCATAATTGCTAGGGTAGTAAATATCAGTTCGACCTACTTTTCGGAAATACACTTCAGGTGTTGGGCCCTAAAATTTATAAATGTCCTGATACACATTACTGTTGCCATCCCAGGCCCACAAATATATCGCCAGTTGATCATTCAGTTGCTCCTGCCAGGAATCGAATCTTGACTGTGAAGTCTGTAGCCAGTAGCTGACCCAACCCCTACTGTTGGAAATTATACACGGAAATTGATCGCTACATTCTGTAATCATTATTTGTATCTCTGTTAGTCTCACGATGGAAAATGAGTATTTCAAGTTGTGACCAGCCAGTTCTTCTCAAGGCTATACAGTGTGCGTTCAACTAGTGTAGGTGACATAAGGAAGCTTCGTTTTCATTTGTTGTGTAATGCGGTAAACCCCTTTACACTTAGAAAAACCAGTATATGTTGACATTGTAACATGTAATCCATCTACATATATGTGTAACCGACTGATCAGGTTATGACTTTAAGATAAATGAAAGTACAGTTACAACCGACCATATTTGCACACTGATGTGATGGAATATGTCCATCTTGCTCAAAGCCCAAATCGAGACTGCTTAGTGTCACAGACATTAAGTCAAAGCATCCCTCTTTGTTGCTTTGAAAAGAAAGGTTTCAAATTTACGGCTTGTAATTGGCTATGGCCAATGAGGTGCACATAATTGTTGACTGCATAAGCAGCAATCCCTTTAGAATTGGGGCACTTTCCTCTTTACTGTTCATGGTGCATACTGGGCTGGTTAAGGATCTGCCTCCTCGCTCCTCAGAGATCCGAAGAAAACCAGGAGCTTCCTCGTAGTGTGGGTGAAAGCTTTAAGTGGGCAAAAGGAAAGGAGAAGGATATACAATTCCTTAGAAATCAGAAGCTCAGGGGTGAAAATGTCTTTACAGAGAAGATCCAAAGTGAAGCAGATGACTAGATTCAGTCTCCATTAGCTTAGGGAAACAAATGTGGGTATGATTCCTGGACTTTTACAGCTACACTGTTCCTTTCACAGTAGTAACCTAGTTTGGCACAGGCCACCAACCCGAAGGCGATAGATACTTTATCAGAGATTTACTTACGGTGACCTCATTCAATTGTCATATCTCATGGGAGCTGCCTTGTTATTGCATGGACTAAACAGAAGTGCTTTATAAACGTTAGGCTAGGCTAGGTAGAGGGAAATGGAGGAAGAAGAAAATACCAGGCTGTGGGTAATGCCTAGTGATGTAAGTGACCCATCTGTGGACCTCTGTACATTGGTGATACAGTGTAATGTGGTTTTATTCAAACAAAATGGAAGTTTGTGCTAAATCACAGTTCAGGTCTAGCAGTATTAAGTGAGTGTGTTAATTAAGCATTGTTTCCTTTTCAAATTAAAGCATAATGCAGCCGCTTGTATGAGGACAGGGGAGTCATGTTATTGACTGTGAAGGCAGAGAGTCTGTTGGGCAGATCAGAGTAAGTGAATTACTTTGCTTTTACTTTTAACTGGATCAGTGGTTGATGTGCTTTCCTCGAAGTACAGTTTTGAACACTCAATTTCACAGAGTATTATATGTGATGTTAGGCATTTATGATTTCTCAGGTTCTGTTGGGTTTGTTTGGATGGAGTTGGTAGGGGATCACTTTTGGTGCATTTAGAGTGAGGAGTTGCAGAATTCTCCTGTCAGCTTTGCCATTCGTGTTCATTCACATGTAAACCTGTGAAGAGATGAGCAGATTTTCATAAAAGTAATGTTGGGGAGTTTTACTAAAATTTGTGAGGTAAACTGCTTTATATTTGTATTAATTAATGGTTATAGTTGACTGAACTGGTCGAATTGAGCCAGTTTGATCCAAGCAGAAAGACTGACTTCTTTTTTTGTGGTTTCCTTGGTTCCTGGGATACTACCATAAATTGGTGTATGACCACTTCCTTGTACATGCTCTCCAGTTCATTACTTGCTTCCATCCAGTGATATAGCGCTGTGTGGTCAAAGTTATTTACATCATTAATAGATAAACTGCAAGGATGGACTACGACAGAATTTTGGAGGAAAGCGTTTTACGTACCTACCAAAAGTGTGCGTTCGTGTCTGAGGTTCTTTTGATGGATTTCTACAGTTCATGTAGGCAGATGATGCCTTTAGGCTCATAATTATACAGTGTGATCATGGGAGAAGATCTTGCGAATCATCCACTGCTGAGGTAGAAAAGCCACACACTTACCTGATCAAGTTGACACACAGTTATTTAGTTTTCTAACAATACCATAAAAGCAAGAGTGTGTATATAGTGAAAGTCCTTTTTTATTTTATCCAAATAAATCATTGAACAGCTGCTGTGAAGTAAGCAATGCAGTTATATGCTAAACCACTCATAAATCCTGGGCCTCACGTTACTGTAGCTACTGCATTTGACCTGTACAATAAGCAGAGATTCACTTGATCTTGTTAT